AAAATTGCCAAGACTCCAATTGACGTGAGTTATGCACTTCAAAAGAATGAAGGTGAAAGTGACTCACAACTCGACTATGCAAGAGTATTGGAAAGTTTGATATATATCATGAATTGTATGCGACCAGATATAGCATGTGCTATTAGTAAACTGAGTCGGTTTACAAGTAATCCCAATCACATACATTGGATGGCAATGAAACGAGTTTTGGGGTATCTCAAACATACCCAAAATTACGCTTTGCATTATAACAAATATCCCTCCGTGATCGAGGGATATAGTGATGCAAATTGGATCACTGGATCATCTGAAGTTAAATCCACGAGTGGATATGTTTTCACAATTGGGGGTTGAGCAGTGTCATGAAAATCATCCAAACAAACGTGCATCGCCCGTTCTACAATGGAATCTGAATTCATAGCTTTAGATAAGGCCGGTGAAGAAGCTGAATGGCTCCGAAATTTCTTGGAAGATATTCTATTTTGGCCCAAACCTTTGGCACCTATTTGTATACATTGTGATAGTCAAGCGACAATTGGTAGGGCAGGGAGCGTTATGTATAACGAAAAATCTCGTCATATACGACGGAGACACAATACCATTAGACAACTACTCTCTAGTAGTGTTATCACAATTGACTATGTAAAGTCAAGAGATAACGTGTCAGATCTACTTACAAAAGGCCTATCTAGAGAGGCAGTTGAAAGATTATCAAAGGGAATGGGGTTAAGGTCTAAGACAAGTCATCATAGCGGTAACTCTACTTAGCAGACTGAAGATCCCACGAGCTAGGTTCAAAGAGATCAAACAAAGTTATGAATGACGGTTCAACATTGTCAAATAACTCAACCCATTCTCGTGATGAAGACAATGTTCAGAAATCGAGGTAAAGCATTAAGGCTTTTTGATGAGTCAACAAAGCTTAAAGGTTTTTTAATGATTTGCTAAGTCTGGCAGGAAATGACCAGATAGTGTGTCTATAGGATTACACGTTTAGAAATCACCTATATGAGTGTGAAGTGTAAGCCGCTTCAAGGGGAATGAAAGTAAAGGCCCATTCTCTAAGCACTTATGAACCCAGATGTTCATGGCAGAAACGAACACAACCGTGAGAACCATAGATGGTTAAGGATTGGTTGTGTGACTTATGTTGTCTAGGTATACAACAAAACTCGACGGTTTAAAGATATCAAATCTACCGATTGACCGAGTATATCCGATATAAGTTCACTACGGAAAGTTCAAAGGGAAACTTACTTATCCAGATGCAATTAATTCTTGCATGTAAAACACACACGCGTCCGTGCATTCCTTTATTTTATAGCCATTCCCCATTCATGTGGGGGATTATTGGGATTTTAAGCTTGTGTAGCTTAAAGAGGGTGAATGAGAAATGGAGGAAAGATGAAATATTTGAGTTTTCCTCCTTGGCAAAAAGACATTGTCCCATATTGGAGGAAGAAAAGGCTTTTGATGGGTATATATATAATTGCTCTTCTTCTAGCTCTTAAAGAGTTAAGAAGAAGGCAAGCCTCGCGCCGTCATCGACGCTCGCTCGCTCGGCTCGGCTCGGCTTCGGCTTCGACAATCGATTGATTGATTAATCTTTTTGGACAAAATTCCTTTTAATTATTTAATTAATTAATTAAATAATTAACGAAAAATTCAATGTTGTTTCTGAAAGGTTGCAAACCTTTTCAGAAACAATGCCAACAACTCTATAAATATACTTTGAATCGTAGAATCTTTCCTTATGAAATTTTCTGATCTTCTTCTTCTTCTTCTTCTGCACAAAAATTCCAGTGTGTTTTACAGCCTTCGAGTGACTCGCTGTTCACCGGCGTTTTTGGTACCAACACTCCGGTGAGTTAAATCATTCTATCCTAGGAGGATATATTCTAGCACCTCGGGTACTTGATGGGAATAATTTTCTTAAGGACACACTGTGTATTCAGTGGGCTCGATTTATTCCTATACTGTTTTTTCAGAATTTATTTCGTTAAACAAGTATTTCTAACTTTCTGTTTTGTTTATATATTTCAAAAATTTTAATGGTTTAATTATTTATTACATCAATACAGATTTATAACAATAGTTGACCACTCACATATGCCACGCCCTGAACAAGGGCAAATATAATGTGCTAGTGATGGGTTTAACTAAATTCATAACTAGTGACACTTGCAATGTTAAGATTAAAAAAAAATCCACAACTTTGGATGTGGAGTTAAAAAAAATTATGTGTACAAATTTATTAAAATTGTAAAAATAGTAGATATGAATCCATACCTTTAAAAATATAATGGGTCCAATACTAAAATCGTAAAAGTTAATTAAACCTATAAAGTTTTACTCCTGAATCCGCCTCTCAACGCTTGACGCCCGGTCACCCGCGTACAACTTTATCAAGAGATCAAACTACTCCCTCGCGAACTATAATTCTTTTTTTTTTTTTTTTTTTTTTTTTTTTTTTTTTCTTTTGTACTTTAGTTTATTCATCCAAAAGGTTCAAAAACATGGATTTAAACGTTTTCTTGAGAAAACCACTGCTTCAAACTTTTTTAGAAGTAGGATAGCAGAACTCTATACTTTCTAGGATAGGACAATATTTAAATTTACGGGACTTAAGAAATGAAAATCGAGGAAGTCAAAGCAAGTATTCCAGGATCCTATGAGTGCATCAAATTAGTGGAGTATAAACATAGAATAAGCACTAGTTGTGTACTTTATTAATTACTTAATACAGGAAAAAGAAGTTGGAATTCTAAGTTAAGACAATACATTGACTACTAAGGGCCAATTTTTGTCTTTTGGGACAGTGATGGTCTGGGATCTAGGGTGTAAAAAGTTCACGTCCAAATGATGGTCCATCACATGGAATATTAATAATTGGGTCAATGCTAATCTTATTATATTCCTTAGTCCTCAAAACAACATAAGAGTGCCAAAAAACAATCGATATAAACCCTAATTATAGACTCAAACATGACCTGCACATGCCCTGCTCAATCCCTTCCATAATTTCCATTAGGTCTCAGAAGTCTATTTTTCGTCTCGAAACACAAAAAATTACGGGGATTCAGTCCCAAATAAAAAAATGGTGAATTAGTTAGTTTATCGTTTACTTACATAATTTATTTTATACTATTAGATCAACTAAATGGTAATTACAAGTGATCATTCATAATAAGTGAGATTGGTAATCTAAAAAGTAAGACAAATTTCCTGCTACCGTAAAGTGAAAACAAAAAGAAATGGTAATTAATTTTATTTTGATTAATATATATATTCCATCTCCTCCCATCCCAATACCTTGGCCTTCTCTATCGGAGTGCATTAGAAATGGTTAATTATGAGACCACGAAAGCACGCTCAATAATGATGTCTTCTGTAAAATTGGCATTGCTTGAAAGGGACTGTCTATATTTGAGTTCAATTTCAACCACAGCAAAGTAAAAACGCATGATTAAGTTTAATAACTGCCTCAAAAAGAAAAAGACACCGTCCTTCATTTCTACTTCTAATTGCATAATTATGTTATGAAATTCTGTGTTCATTCTTTTCTTTCTTATCCACTTTCTTTAAGTATTTAAAACCAACTGAAAATTAAATTCTACACACCAACTTGTACACTTCTGCCTGTCCACCTTCTTCCACCTTAATATTCTTAGAATACAAACTCATCTACTGTTCTACGTCTACCTTAACCTAGGAAGCCATATTTTTTTCTAAATAGCTTCCTATTATAAAGCTTTTCTTCTAGGCATAGAGCTTCTAGCTTGGCAGCAATGGCTTCAAATCAAAGAGAAAGGTGAGCTGAATTATGAAACTTGAAGCAATAACTTACTGGGAATTCATGTTTTAAGTTTAATTCTGTTAGCTTCATTTTCTTTTGATTAATTTTTATTATGCAACTATACTTAAACTTCAAGGTAGGACAAACTGATCAAAGAAAGTTTGAGTGGCTTTGCGTCTGAAGTAGACTTCAAGTTTGGTCATTAATGCTAATATAGAGGGTTAGCCAAGGTTTCTTAGGGAATATTCTGGACCTCAGACTTTAGCTTAATTAGTTTATATCCGTTTAGTTTTAATTATGCTTGCGGAGTAACAGTTATAAACTTTCTTCATGATCTACCTAAGACTAGCAAGCTGGCTTTTATCAGTTTATGTGAAAACTGGACATAACCTTATAAGTTACTCATAATTAATAGGAAGAATTTTCTAATGCAGTTTAGAATTAAGCTGTATTAAGAAGCTTTACTCCTTATTAAGGTGGATAACCATGCATTTACTAAAGGATATTCTTTGAACTGACATCAAGTTTGCGACCTATTACATTTATTTGAATCAATATCATATGACGACTAGCAAAATACTTTTGTTATCGGACCTCCTAAGAACTTTCTCATCTAGAGGTTCAGTTATATATATATCATACTTAAGTGTGTAACCATCTCATTTAAAGGTTAAATTATTTGACATAATATACCTTTATTTATTTAATTTGTCTTCAATACACATTCCTTTTTTAAAAAATGGGCGACAGTGAGACTCGAACAACGGACCTCACGCTTCTCTTTGAGTTGAAATCGACAATAGATTTATGCTGTTAGATTTTCAACTTTGAATCTTGAAATCAGATGTAAAGAGAACTGAGGGAACATTATATTAAGCTTCTTTCTCCCAAGTGGATTTCTAGGGGTATAGACCTAGTACACTCCTTATAGGAGTACAACTTTGTCTTTTTGCATTTAGTTTAATGTATTTCAACCTTCATGCTAAAAGCATTATGAAAAAGCTTAATGATATTACAACCTTCTGTGCACCTAGTTTGATCAGCTTATAGAAACCTTTTGCAGTTAAAGAGAGAGCAGAGACTTTTTTATTTTTATTTGAAGCCATCACCTTCAGGCTAGAGCCTTTGGTTTGGGGGTTAGGCAAGACCCCTACCATGTCTATATATAAGCAAAATAGTACAAAGTAGAGGGAGACATGGACCTTACCTCTACAACCAAAAGTGACTTAGAATTATTACTTAGAAATGTCATCAGGATCAATTTCTTCTTTGGATTAGACTAAACGGGAGGTTCTCATTGTCAGCTTAGTATTTCCCAACAAATTCTTTAGTTCCATCAGCTGGAGATTTTCATCTAAATTTTTGCGGTTGTGGTGGAAAAAGATGCATTGTTAACCTTTCAATCCAACAACAACAAGAACAACATACACAGTGCGGTCTCACAATTGAGGAGCTTACTCAGACCGTACTCCTACCTTGTGAAGATAGATAGGCTTTTTTCGATAAACCTTTGGCTCATGTATATATATCACACAAAGATTTTTCGAGATCACTCAATTTCATAAGTAGAACAATGTGGCCCCTTTAGAGACATCGATAAAATTGGAAAGATACAAAAACTATTATCATAACTTGTGTACAAGAATGATACACCAAATCAAGAATGGTCCAAACTAATCTTTTTTGTAAAAAAGAAAGTACGTAGTAGAGCAATATGAGTGCTGCACTAATGAAAATACATTATCCAACATCCCAGAAATGCCAGAAGATCAGGGACAGCTTACTTTTGTCTTCAGAATACAAATTTATATACGTATTAGAAAGTCCTCTTTAGTTTTTTTTCCTTTTAAATACTGGTTGCCTCGTATAGAACATACAAACTTTTAGCAGGATGCCGACCATTAATACATCACATTTAATTTGAGTTTTATTATGTACAGAAACTGAGGCAATTAAGAATATTAAGTCCAAGCATCATATATTTTCTATGATTTAGCATATACTTATAGAGTGACATTACTTCCAGAGATCAACTTGGGAACTTGAGGCAAGTTCTGAAGCCATTTCTTGACTCTTAAAATCATTTTGAAGCTGCAGATTCATTTGTTCAGAAGCTGGAGAGCTAGAGCAAGCAACAGCAGATGTCTCCATTTTGCTGCAGCCATCTTCTTGACTTAATTGAGATGCAACAAACTTATCGAGTACTCGCCAATCGGTCACTTGATCCACTGCTTGATGATCATAGTTGTTATTAGTGTTATAAATTGAGTTGGGCAGTACCATTTGATTCAAATTGCTTCCATAAGATTGAGGTACTTTGGGTGACTCTAATTGAGGAAGTTGGAGAAATGCATCATTAGGAGGCTGCTGCATATTATTGGTGTAAGCTAAGTGAGGATTGTGGTATGCAGTTGCAGAATATGGATTTGGAAAACGACGTGGAGAGTCGAAATCTGGCATGAAATTAGAAACTTGGTCATCGTTATACCAACATAGTGACTCGTGCTCTCCTTCTCTCCTCATTGTTGTTGCTAATTTTTTCTTGAATACTCTACACACTGCCCAACCTTCTTCCTGCAGGTGAAATATCATCGATAGCATAATGTTAGGATATAGAGTTTATGTTCTGCACACTAACAATGTAAGTAACTTTTACACTATATATTAGGGTTCAGTTGATTATAACAACAGGTAATTCTCCATATTAAGCATGATACGGTAACCTAAAAATTAAATTAATAACCTATTATTATAACCTGTTAAATTATCCTAAAAGTGTACAAATTTCTTATATAACTTAAGCTCTAGAGATAATAATTTCCTTTTTGATAATAGTAGCATTATGTTCTTATGGTTCTTGAGACATTAGTTATAAATGCATTCCGAGCAAAATTGGGAAGGGAATGATTGTTAGAAGCATCTTAACTATTTGACTGCCTAAAAAATCTGAAGGCCGATTCTAGTCAAGGAAAGCACAAAACTTAATTATAATGATCTCCTTTAATCAATTGAAGAAAATGAGGGTGTTTTTTCCGACTTTGATAAACTTAGAACTGGCCCTCATTTTCTATAGCAAACATTTCTGTAGTTAATCCAGAGAAATGTAACAAGGGGAAGAAATTAAATCTTCATAATTAAAGATTTCTTCAATATAATTGAGATAGTTTTGATAGGTTGCATGTGATCAAGATTTAACAAGTATTTTGGTTTAGAATACTTGCCTGAGTAGTGCCATTCTCATTTGTTTCAAGTCTGTACTCATGCATTATCCAATCGGATTTTTGTCCATTTGGTGCTCGGCCTTTATAAAATACCAAGGTTTTTCTCATTCCAATCAAAATGTGCTTACGATAAATAGCCTTATCTCTTCCAGTAGCTTTCCAAAATCCTGCTTTTGTAGCTCTATTTGTGCGAGTTCCAGTTGGATATTTCTTGTCTTTATGACTAAAGAAGTACCAATCACTCTGCTCCTCAGTTCCTATCTTGCACAGTTCTGATAAAATCAAATAAAAATAGTAAGTACAAGACCATTTTATCAAGGGTTATGTATATTAGTAACTTATGTTCCTCGGACTCTCTAAAATCTTGCGGCACCCGCGTCGGATCCTCCAACGTCGGATCCTCCAACGTCGGATCCTCCAAAAATGCACTGCTTTTTGAGGATCCGACACGCATCCGGTCCGAGCAACATAATTAGTAACTACCTTGAAGATCCCATGGCTCGATTTTATAAAGGTCAATTTCCTTAATAACATCAAGGTCGATTCTTTTTGAAGCAATCTTTTTTCTGAGATAATAATCAACTAATTCTTCATCTGTGGGGTGGAATCTAAAACCCGGAGGAACATGTGTAAAGGAATTCATGTCTTTCCTCCACAAATCAAGACCTGCATTAGAGTGAACATAGCAATATTAGCTTCAAAATCTCTAAGGCAAATTAAACTGAAGATTTTGTTTTATTCTTATCGGGCTTTAATAGGAAAGCTTATAACTGTATATCACATATTTTAAGCTTCAAAGAAATACAAATGTAACGAAATTATAGTACACTGTATTCAAAGGGAAAAGGGCAATGGAAAATTACAAATTGATACATACATGTCATATTTTCAATCCATAAGTGATGAAATTGAGAACAAGTAGACAAACGAACATAACATCTAGGATTCAGATAGATTTCCTAAAAATATCAAAACTAGGGCTCAAACATCAACTCACATCGTTGTTTGAAAATTAAATAACAGTTTTCAAGCAAAAAGTCATGCTTTAAGATTAACAACATAGACATGAAAAGTCAAGAATAGAATTACATAAATTCCACAGCTTATGGAGAAGATTGTCCATTTTAAAGTTTCAATGTGCATCCATGTGTGATAATATTCTTTCAAAAAACTCATGGAATATCCTTCATGAGTTAGTACTTTTTAAGTTTTTGTACAGTTAATTAATTTGTTTTTCTTCTTCAATTTTAGCTAGGGGAATTGTTGATTAAATTAAAATTAAACAGTTTCATCCGTAGGATTCTATAGCAAATGCTCATACATAAGGATTTTCCTAGAAGTATTCATATACAACTGAAACAAAAGATTGCATCTCGGAGAAGGAAGGGGGAATATAAAAGTTCAAGCCTAAGTTTGACAATTTCAAAAATGAATTTCGATATATTATTTCAGTCTTTTAATGTTACAATAGTTCCATGCATTGTATTTTATTGTACTCCATAAAGATGAAAAAATAAGTTAAAAACAAGAGCAGCAGGAGAAGAAGAAAGAATTTGGGTTATACTGAGAAAGCATATGATTGGATAAAGGGGACACTAAAATTATCTTTTTCCACATATTTTAGACCAAACTTCAAAATCAAAAGAAACTAACGCATGCTTTATTATATCAAAGTGGAATAATATGATAATTTAAGGGTTTTTTTTTAGTATCATCGTCTTAACATATATATACTAGATATGCATCCTTGCATTAAACTAGCTAGTAACAGGTGAAAAACAAAAGATATTCAATGGTGATAAACCGTAGAAAACTTAAAGATGACTCCCATAATATATCTACACTGAGTTTCCTATTTAACACCGGATATCAAGCCCTAAAAATACAAAAAGTAAAAACAAATTTTAACTATACTTATAAATCACCATGAATCTATGACAGTAAAAATCCAAATTGAAAAAACACAAATGAAGAAAAAACAAAGCAAAAAAAAAGTTTTCCTACGTAAATTAGTAAGTAAACACGTATGTTGAAAACAAACACTAATGTAAATGATGTATGTCGAGGAGTTTTGTTTTGTCAACTTTTGTGGGGATAAAAGCATGAGAGCTCTAATCACTTGAAGATGGATGTGGCTAAAACTACTCAAGTTTGCTTTAGCCTGAGGCATGAACCCTGAATGAAACAAGTACAATAAGTATAATGTTTCCTCCACTCATAAAGTAAAATACTGTGTAATCAATTTTTAAAAAAATACCTTTACTTTGTTCAACTATAACCAACGTAAAAACCACACTTTCTCAAAGAAGTGCAACAATAAGAAGCTTATTAGCATCAAAATAGTGCTAATTATTCAAAAGCATGCACCTAAATATATATCCCAGCACAAATGCACATCTATCCTAAATTTTTTGTCTATTTCTACTTTATTTTTCTAACACTTGTTTAGAAATTTGAAATTGCAAAAAGAAGAAGATCAAGAAAAAGGAGGGATAAATAAAATCTAGGTATTGAATAAGTATTTGATGAAAACAAGAAGTTTTAAATATTTTTGAGACACAATTACAAGACTATGAAAAAAGTGATCAAAGAAGAAGAAAATGAGAAGATAACTAAACAACCTTTATAATGATCCTCTAGAGTTGTTCTTCCCTTGATCTGATTCTTTCAACTCTTCTATTCAGATTTCAGATCAATATAATCCAACTCACTATAAAGGGATATGTAGAAAATGGTTGTTTTTGCCTCCACTCTATTTCAACTTCTGAATAAATACACTGAAGCAGACAAAAAGAGAAGCAATGTTTGAGAGGTTTTTATATCTTTATACTAATTCCCACCTCGGGAATTGAATAACTCTAACTCTCATAAAACCTTATGGTCCTCATAAAATGATCAGATCCCAAAGAAAAGTAAGAGCAGATGAAAAAGGGGAAGAAAAACAAACACCTTTTTATTCCTGAAGAGGAAAGAAAAAGATGAGCTAGAAACAATAGGGTTTCAAAAGAATGACTGAAAAATATGCAAACGAGAATGTAAAGGTCCTATATATGATAGATCATTCTTTTTTCTTTCTTTTCTTCTTCCTTTCTCTATATATAAAAGCAATTACTACTACTATATATTTTCTATCACCTTATCTCTTGAACAGAAAGCTAAGATCATTGCAAAAAGATTTGGGAGGCGGAAAAAATGGTGGCTGAGGCTGAAGCACACTGGTTTCTCCACCACCACCAGTTAGCGATGGAGACAAAAAATATATATTTTTTTAAAAAGCTTTTGTACTTTCACGCTTTTTGTATTTTTTCTTTGATCAAAGAGCTAGATTGAGAGAGAGAGAGAGAGTGAACGTCAGAAAGCTGAGGGCATATTTGCTAAGCCTTCTTAAAGGGAAGACTCCATAGACCATAAGACAACACACCCGACCAAAAAGAGGATGTATTTGTTTATCTTATTTGTTAGGTTATAAAATTTGTGTTGTTGGTAACATAATCATTTTATCAAATATGCACACCATTTACCCCATAATTGTAAAGGGTTGAAGAGGAAGAAGAAACACTTCTTGCCGAAAAAAAGTTACTAACTATTCCCTCCATTCCAATTTATGTGAACCTATTTGACTGGATACGGAGTTTAAGGAAAAATGAAGATTTTTGAAATTTGTGGTTCTAAACAATTCAAAAAGGGCCCAGAGTATTTGTGTGGTAATAAAAGTTTCTCATTAAAGGTAAAATTGTAAGTTTAAGCAAAATTATTTTCAAATTTAGAAAGGGATCATTCTTTTTAGAACGGACCAAAAAGGAAATAGATTCACATAAACCGGAGTGAGTAATTTGACCACTTGGAGTCTCTACGTACTTAGGATGCGTTAAGTACGAAGGAATGAGTTAATTTCTGACAATCACACAGAAAAATACATGAAAAATATTTTTTATTAAAAGGCGGAAAAACTTTTTTATTAACTCATTTGAAATATTTCTGAGTTTTAGAGAGTGTTGAGTGAGTCTATTAGGGTTCTAAAAAGCCTAATTTTCAGCAGGATCGCGTGAGTCTACATGGCTCAAAGGCTAGAGTCCAATTATATTTCCTTAACTTAAAGACATATAGGTATATAATTAAATTGTTGAATTTCCTTTTCATAATAAAAAATTCTAGTGTAGTGATAAAGTTGACACAAAATATTTATTTTAAGTCCTAAGTTTGAATTCCAGGTACAGTTTCTACAACTTTTTTTTATCTCCTTGTTATAGTTTTTGTCTTCCCTAAAGAATTTACCGGGATCAGTATTTAATGCTATAAACTAATCGATACTCTACTTTTTAATAATCTTAATCTTTTTCCATGGAGGGCTGGGCTTGAGAATGAGAATCGAAAATTATAGATGTATGATCCAATGTAGTAACTCCACTTGTTAATACGCGACCACTTTGGTAATGGCATTGCAGTCTCTTGTTCTTCTTTTTGAACTGTAATTGTTGGAAGGGACTAAAAAAGATATTATCTTGTGTATGATTTTAAATTTAGTTTTTTTTCATGCCTTTCCAGTATGATTTTTAAATGTCACCCATTAGAAACGATACATTTTTCTTGTATTTTTTATTTAATCAATTTCCTCCTTTCTGAAACAAACAGCCGCGTTTAAGTTTTAAGGTTAGTTGTGCATACATGATACAACTGAAAGCTAACCATCAAAATTATAATATATAACTTTCCTGTATTAATAAAAAAGAAAACTGACCACCAAGGATTATGGTGGGATAGATACGATTTATCAACTCTTAATTAGAGAGTTTTCAGGTTCGAGTTTTGAGAATGAAAATAATTATGTCCATGGAGGTTTTATCCCATTTATGAACTTGAAAAGCGAATTCGAATTAGTTAGACCAAAAAACGAGTACAGACATTCAAATGAAAATTGAAATATATATTTTTTTAAAAAGGTTAGCTTTTGCAATGGTCTTCCATTACGGGCTCTATATTGTTCATCCTTAAGTGCAAACACAACCAAAAAGTGAACTGAGCTCAAGCCCCTTTCTCAATTACAATACTCTTGACTTTTTCTGCGCAATAATAATTAAACACCATAAAGAAACTATAAATAAAAGAGTGCAAAAAGTTACTACTATGAAAATAAAAGAAAGCTTTCGTGAGGTTTAACATTATAAAATGCTAAAACGTGAAATAAAATGCAACTTCACGCTTCCTCTGGTTGGTTGGGTCTACAATTTAATAACATTTCTTTTTCCCCAAAGGACCATACCATACAGACCGACCCAATACAACTTTGAAAGAGACTCTTCTCCAAAAACAAAAACAAAACAAATTAAAAAACAAAAATTGAAAATTAAAATTATAAATAAAAATAATCCAGCTAGGCAGAAACAGCTTTAGGTCAGCCAATGTGTGGGGCCGTAACGGTGGAGAGTGGGTCCCTTTGTAACGGAATGATGGCTGTATATTTTGGGGTTACTTACTTACGTGGCGGCAGTTAATGGTTCGGCGTGGGTTAATCCTTGATCATTAAGCTCACAAACCTGGCTTTGTTTTTGTGGAGGACTGTCCCACAACCTTATCTTCCAACAGGAATTGCTTTAACTACTCCCCTAAAGTAGTTCATTATTTATTTATTTATATTATTCCTAAGTAAGAGTATAATTTTACACCATCAGTATAAATTAATATAACAATGAGTAATTCTTCGAAATGAGTATGGTAATCTGAAGAAATAGAGCAATAACCTGCTACAATATGTTAAATTGTGTTAACAACATAATTTGTTTTATATTATCAGTAATGTAAATTAAATTTATTTCTAAATTATAAGGCCTCAAATAGTTAGAATTAGGTGTTATATATGAGTTTGAATGTGATTTGAAGGCAGAGGCGGATACGGCATTGCTGCACTGGGCTGAACCAAGTATTTTCGATGCAGAAATATACACAAATTTAGATTAAAAGATTCATTCAAATTGAAACAAGCAGAAGGTGAAGGTCTGAATCCATTATATATGCATGAATTTATATTAAAAGATTCATTCAAATTGCAACAAGTAGAAGGTCTGAATTCATCATTTTAAAAGTATAATGGATTCGATGCTAAGAATTTTAAATGTTTGAATCCGGATCTCTCTGTTATGTTGTTGGTATTACATAATTGACTTATTAAATATGCAAAAAGAAGACAAAGGTGTATGTTAACATGGTGACAAGTGTACCTACATAATGTTAAAATAAATAATCACAAGTGCTTGTGCGTGCCTATTAGTTAATACCCAACCCTTCACTTTAGCTGTTAAAAGGGCCTGTTCTCCGCCTGTGGTTGAGGAGAAAAGGCCATTTCATATAATTAAAGATCCTTCCCTATAGTTTTCTAGTTTTCTTTGCTCATGAATCAGAGTTAAACTAAGGGTTTTCTCAAGTTTTTTTTAGTATAGAAGTGAAGCAAAAGTTACAGACGTTATACAATGGTCATCAGGCCAACCTACCATCGCTTATTTGGCAGCCCGTTCTGAGATTTAATTTCTTGTATGAAAGCTTCACTATAATTTAAATACGCCCTTTTTGTTTTACTTTTTAAGCCACTTTAATTAATTAAGTTAGAAGTGGAAAAGTTACACCATTTCAATAGGACAATTAACTAGGTAATTTTCTTACTTGATTCTTGCATGACTACATCACACGTAAATGCATTTATAAAATTATGGAACATCATTGTATTTATGTCATGGTGTGCTACAGTAACACTATTTTGGCAAGTTAATGTGATACATGCAGCAAAAGATGATAAGTACATTTACACAAAAAGAACTCTTGTAGTTTTACTTTAATCATTTTGATTTCTATCATTGTATGTATACGTAGTCATGTAACTTTGGCACAATGAAGGTTGAAAAAATGAATTAATTATGAAAATTTATCACCACTCCTTGAAAAGTGAGAAAATAACCTTGGCTCTTTTATATTATTTTATGCTATAACCAAACTTTTCTATAACATCTTAATTTGTTTAATATTTTTGATTGTTATAATAAAGTGCTATTATAGAAAATATATATTATAATATAATATGAATAATTGGTTCCAAAAGAATATGACTATTACAATGAAATGTTACTATAATTAAAGGATAGTTATTATAGAAAAATTGATTTGTTAAGTTAATTTTATACACAAGCTAATATACGTAGCAATACATCATTTAAGGAACATAAAATGGCGAGGTATATGGTGTATTTAATGGGGACAAAGAGTGAAGAGTCAAATGATATCATGGGCTTAAATTAATACATAACAATTGCAATCTCATATGTGTACTAAATTAAGTGGCAATTTTTCCAGGTGCCAAGTATATATTACCGTGAAAATACTACTTTACCTCACGACTTGTGATCGAACTTACTCTTTTTTTTTTCCCTTTCCTTAGCTTATTGCGTTCTTTCTTAAAAGTTTTAGCCTCTAATTAAGTGACACTTCTCAAGGTGACAAGGGAGGGATTTAAACTTTCATTTAAGGCGTGCTTCAATCAAGTAATGAGAATGATTTTAATGAGAGAAAGAGGGTTACCGTTGTTTACTTGTGCAAAATTATCTAGAAGTATGGACTTATTACTTAACTTTTAAAAATGTTGTTGGGCTAATAAAACCTAAATACACTCTTAGCATAGTGTGATATTGTCTGTTTTGATCCAAATCCGCACGGTTTTTCCCAAAAGGTCTCACACCATTAAGAGATTCCTACACCTTATATGTAGGCTCCCAATCTTTTCAGCTGCCAATATGGGAGTTTGTTCGCACACCCAACAAAAGTATTAATATTGGAGCACCTTAATTTCCAATCATCAAGATTATATCTTGGTAAAAATAATGATGCAATGCGCATAATTAGATTATAAATTACTTAAATCTTAATTAGAGGAAAGGGATGGGGCTAAAAATGGTAGAGGTAGTGGAGCCATCTTTAATGATTACTGAAATAGACACATAATTGTTTTGGCTCCCCACGTTTCAACTAGGAAGAGGGTGGACAAGTACAAATGTGCCAAAAGGAAATTGCAAAAGGAAAAGAGTTTAAAAGTTTCATTGTAATTCCGAAGTATGCTTCACTCTTACTCTTTTTGAGAGAAGAAAGTTTATGATCATCGGCAAATAGAATTACATAGAAGTAGAGGTCGTTGTAAATTAAGAACAATGACTCGCCCATGGAGGCGATTCAGATTATTTTCCGATTATTACAGGATTGCATCAAGGGTCTGCGTTCAGCCCTTNCGAAATAGCAATAATTGAATGCAGCGAAGATAAGCGAGTAAGGAAGTAAAAAAAATGAAAAAAAAAAATTAGAAAAAGTTTTAA